GCCGCCCCTAGGCAACGGAACCGGGGGGTGGACAAGGCCCGAGGACGCGGCCCCACGGATGCCGAGGTGCTCGGCGGTCCCCGCCCCTTCCCAGAGCTGCCTCTTGCTCAGGTTCTCGACCAGACCGAGGAGGGGGTCGAGAGCTTCAGTGGCGGCGAGCGCGGCGTCCCGCGCCGCCGTGTCCGCAGCCTTCGCCGACCTGTCGTCCACATACGACCACGCCCCAGTGGGATTCCAGAGGGATCGGAGCCGGGCGTGCCACGGGGCCAACACGCAGCTCAGGGTGCGCCCGCTGCGTGGGCAACCCGCCGGCAATCCCCGCACGGGGTGGAGGGTCGCTAATGCAGCCCCCCACCGAACAGAACCGGGGCGCGCGCCAGGTGTGCACCAGGAAGCGCACCACGGCCGGATGCGCACCTAGGTGGAGGAGGGCATCGGTCGCGACCTGGTGGGCGACCGAGTCGCACGCCTTCTGCTTGTCCACCTCGGCTCCGGCCTCGCCAGGCGCGGCGGCCCAATCCGCGAAGGACCGAACCGCCCCCTTTTCCCCCCAGGCGCCGTCGGGGGCGGGGGGGAAGGACCGAAGGAGGCAGCTGTGCCACGCCCGAAGCCACACGGGGGCGACCGCCACCGGACGAGCGTCGTCAGACCCTCTCTAGAGATCCCAGCGACACGGAGCCCGGCAAAACGCAGCGAGCGGGAGGCAAGCCACTCCTCAGGGTCTTCGAGGAACCGGAGAAGCACCAAACGAAGCTCTTCGGCGAGGCGCGGCAAGTGTTTCCCGATCGCTCCAACCTCGCTGGAATCCCACCCGTCGAAGCCAGCGGTGCCAGAAACCTGAAACAGGGACTCCGCCCACCCTTCGGGGCTAGGGGGCTCCACGGCAGGGGCGCCGCCGCGGGGACCCCGCAGTCCGCGGCAGCCCGCGGCCAGTCCGGCCGGCCGGCCGGAGGGGCGGGGCCGTCGGGAGGGCACCACCACGGTTCCCATGCGGTGCGCATGTCGTCCGCGGTGACGACCGGGGGCGGTAGCCTTGGTCGCAAGTGCCCCGCCGAGGCCCCCGCCGACCGAGCATCCCAGCGGCGGAACTGCTCGCGCCAACCTGCAGAGGAAACCGTAGCGTCCAGCGCGTCCTCGGCGGCGATCGCCTTGGACAGCGCCTCAGCCGCGTCGCCTAAGCAAGGAGGGGGCCGGCCAGGCAAGAGGCCGTCGCGGCGAGCAGCGGCCCAGTGCTTTAGGAGGGAGGCGGGGGGGGGGAGCCCAGTGACCCGCGCGCCTGCATGGTCTCGTGGACCACCTGCCGGTGCAGCCGCGCCAAGCGCCGCTGCCGGACCGAAGCGGCCGGCCGGTGCGCTGGGGCGGTCGGCCGACTGCTCGGCGGTGAGCCCTTCGCGCGCTCTGGCTGCCGGGAAACCTCGGCGAGGCCTAAGGACACGGCAGCCTGGAAGGCGGCCTCGGTACGGGCGTGCCACGAACTGAGCGCCTAGCATGCCCAATCCTCGCCGTCGCTGGGCCTGGGGGCGGGGGCGGGGCCGGGGCCAGGCCGGGGCGCAGGGGGCAAGGGCGCCGGCGAGCCGCCCCAGTCGTCGGCGGCCGCCTCGAGCAGCCGGCGTTCCTCAGTCGTCGGGGGGCGGAACCAGCGGTAAAGGGCAGTGCGGCGAAGCCGCTCCCGCTGCACAGGGGGGGGGGCGCGGGGGCCCCGAGGCCAAACGCCATCCCAAGATGGTGGGGCACCCCTGGGAGGGGGGCCGCATCTTCGAGCCGAGGGGAACACCCGCACCCAAGGCACCGGGTAGGGGCCGCCATGCCCTGGGTCGTACTGGGGTGAGCCGGAGGGGCGGCCCACGGCGCCCACGACGGCCTAGGAGGCCCCAAAAGGCCCCAAGATGGCCCCAAGAGCCCCTTCCCGAGGCACCCAAGACGCCGGAGAGTCCCCCACGACCGCCAAGAGACCCCCAAGACGCCCAAGAAATATCCCAAGAGGTTCCGAGAAGCATCCAAGAGACCTCGGGCCTTTTTGCTTGCTCTCCTCCTCCTCATTATTCGTCCTATCCCTTCTCCTCCGCCTCCTCCCCCTCCGCCTCCGCCTCCGCCTCCTCCTCCTCCTCCTCCTCCTCCTCCTCCTCCTCTTCCTCCTCCTCCTCCTCCTCCTCCTCCTCCTCCTCCTCCTCCTCCTCCTCCTCCTCCTCCTATTCATCCTCCTTCCCCCTACTCCTTCATCCATCCATCCAATGTTTTTTTTTCGCCCCCTCTCTCCTTCACACGGTTCGGCCGCCCCCCTCTTTGCTCCCGCATTTCCCTGATCACCTCTCAACTCGCCTGGGCATCGTTTCTGGATGGGCTGATGGGGATACTTTTTAAACTGCGGCTCAAAGGACGGTTCCAGAGAGCGGGTCGAAACAAGCTTGGGGCAACAAACAAGATAATTGCCAGCGGGCCAAAAGCCAACGCCGGAATGCACATGCGAGGAACAAAATGAACCTCATTAAGCCGCACCAAAACGGCAACCAACGACTGACAGCGGGGCGTCGCACAGTGGCGCCAGCACCCGGCAGCGGCGGCGAAGGGCAAGGAACAACGGACAGCTGAAACCCTGGCACGCCCGCCCGTGAAAGTGCAACGAAGGCGAGCTGAAAGGGGGTACGTAGGCCTCACTCACGGAGCACCTCATGTGCTCGAAGCTGGCATCGCAGAACCAGGCACCAGCGGACTTGACGTGAAGTCGAGTAGAGACACCGATGCGCAAGGCACACCGTGCACCGATACTCGAAGCGTCTAGAATTGATATCACCGTCCTCGATCGATGCCCTCCAAGATAGCCCCAAGAACGCCCACTAGGCCGCCACGAGGACTTCAAAAGAGCCCCCCAAGGACCCCAAAGGGAGCTGCAAAGGCATCCACAAATGGCCCCAATCCAGCCCAAATGCGGCTGCCCAGAGGCCTCCATACCGAACGATGCACGAAGGCGTTGTGAGCGTTTTCTTATTCGGCGTTTCGACCTTTGGCGGAAGGGGGGTGGGGGGAGGGGGGGGTCTGTCTCTGGACCTCTGCATAGTGCGACTGTTTGCAGCAATGCGTCCGATGGGGGAGGGACTCCAACTGCTTGAAACAGGCGCCATAAACAGCCAAGATCTACTCCATGGGGAGGAGGAGGAGGAGGAGGAGGAGGAGGGAGGAGAGGAGGGGAGGAGGAGGGAGGAGGAGGAGGAGGAGGAGGAGGAGGAGGAGGAGGAGGAGGAGGAGGAGGAGGAGGAGGAGGAGGAGGAGGAGGAGGAGGAGGAGGAGGAGGAGGAGGAGGAGGAGGAGGGGGGGTGGGAGCCCGCACCCATCGGCAAAACGATGGGTAAGGACACGATCACCTCTGCTCAGGCTGACTCCGATCTTCGGCTGAGCGGCTGCCCGCCCCCCTCTGTTCCACTGGGCGCTCCCGCACTTCCCTGACCCGTGCAGCTGGCATGGGCATCGCGGATGGATGAGCTGGTGAGGATACGCGCCGAGACGAGAAAGTACGACGAAAAGTACCCGTCGGTCAGAAGAAGTGGGTAGAAACATGAACAGTAAGGCGCTGGGAACAGAGAAGGCCCCCGCCCACTCCCTGAAGAGGAGGGAAGAGGAAAGCCGCTCGGCTCTTGAAGTAGGAAGGCACTCAAAGAAGATTGGGATATGGGGATCCAACAAATACCCTCAGGTCGGGCATGCCCCCCCCCCCACAGGCGGATTTTGGACGAATGATTTCACATACCCCATCGAAACTCAAAAAAATGTTGGATAACTTGTCCCCAGGCTATGTGTTGACTATTATTGAATCTCCTCCTGTAGAAGGCCAGGCCTGGGTTAAAAATATCTGCGCTCAACGACTGACCTGTGCTGCTGCGCACGGTCGGGAGAGAAGCGCGGCACTCTGGGCGCCCCAGGGGGGGACGACGGTAATTCACTTGCGAGTACGCGCGCGCGGCTTCGCACACCGCCAAATGTCCTGGTGACGCGGCCGAGTGGCGCATTCACCCGGCTGGAAGACGAGAAAACCACCTGAACATAAACGTTTGGCGCCTCGCGCGGATTTCTTGGATTCGCGCTGGCGCCGCCAGGGGGCCCAGGCGCGGATGCAAGAAATCCGCGCGGAGCGCCACGTTTCTGTTTATGTGTGTTTTTCTTGTTCGATTGGTGCTGCCTCAGGTGTTGTATCATATGCAGTGGTGATTTCTCCTGCGCGGCCAACTCCGTCGATCAATGATCGGACGTGGTAGCGCATCCTGACTCTAGAGCCCCTGCTGCCTGCTGCTCACGCCGGCTTCAGCGGCGTCAAATTCCGCAAATGCCATAATGACTGATGCGTCTACGTAGCGATCGATCCTTCCGATCACGCCCGCACTGCCTGTCAACGGAGTCTACGAAGTAACGGTACCAGCTTGCCTGCCTTGGCATAATTTGACTCACGCTGTCGTTTCTTCGGTTGTATTGATCTTGGTTGAGCAGGTCATACGTCTACTGCTGCTGGTGATGAGTAGGGCTAGTGTCGGTAAAGGTAAGGGCGGGCCGAATGATAAGGCGAGTTAGGCAAGCTCAGGTCGGACGGCGTCGCGCAAGAGCCGACGACAGATGCACTGGGACAGAAAGGACTCTGAAAAGAATGATCGAACGAGCACTGCAGAAGCGAAGCGACCCAGGAATAATCAAAGCTAGGAAACGGTGACAGCTATACAACAACAGAAGATCTGTAACCAAAGGAAGTTGGCAAGGGCAACGAACGGACAGGGTCAAATATAACATCACGGCTGAAAAGGACCTATGCGAAGAGAACGAGACACACATCCAGACACATATCCTCTCCAAGGAACCCCCCTTGCAGGTCGGAATATTGGAAGCCAAGTCCGCCCTAGCCCGATGCAACCGATTGACTCCCGAACGAGACGGATCGAACGAAAAACGGAGTGACAAATATCTAAAGTACCGGCACTAAACTGCTACGCACTGAACTGGTAAGAAAAGAACAGCGCTGCCGGATCGATGACCCAGTGCGGAGACATATCAGTATCTTCGGTCTTCTTCCTCAGGAACCAGCTCGGGAAGAATGGACAACGGAGGCCAGCAGGAAGCGGGACGAGGGAGCGGCACTCGTGGACATCGGACATGGGGGAGAAATAGGAAGGGGGTGCGTGAACGGAATGTCAGAGAGGAAGGGGGCGAACATAGAGAAACATCAAGTACTGAAGAAAGCGAACATCCACAGGCGCTCTTGAGAACTAAAGCATGTGACAATTCTTGGTGAATTGCTGGCTTGTTTTCTTGCGTTGTCTTCTGTTGATTTCCTGCTATATCTCCAGTACTCTCTCCTTCGACGGTCTACCAGGAGCACCGACAAAGCCACCTGAGGGTGCGTGTCTCAGCCTTCTGGCCGCTCTCCCGAGAAACTTCTGGGGGCCCCAAGAAGCCCCAGGAGGGCAGAAGAGCCGAATACGGCCGAACATGGCCTGGACATGCCTCAAACATGGCCTATGGGATGTCGATCGGTAGAACTGAGCGGGGTAAACACGCGTTGGGCTAACGCACTTCATGAAAATCATCGATGTGCACGAAGGGGGTTAGCGAGAGCAGGAGAGAGGCCACACCCCCTGCGGCACAAGCTTGTCGTGACGACATGTGCGTTGGTTTCTGACTCCGCGCGGGTCGTTCAGCAATCAGTGATCGTGGCTTTCCGATAGAGCCCGTTTAATGATTATTCGCCACAACGCCCGCGACCAGCCCCGCCCCCCCCCCCCGTGGTCACGACACGATTCGCGTGGGCGCCGTCTGCGAATGAACCACTCCTGGGCATTCCCAGGACGGCACCCGTACAAATCATGACGTGACCGGCCCCCTCCCCCCCTTCCCCCGGTCACGCCCGTTATCGCCGAAGGGGCGAGAACACGATCTCCTAGTACGGCCTGCTCAGCGTCGGCCGACTCCGGGTCACTTGCGGCGCACAGTCGTGAACGCCCACGCTGGGCTCGCCGCCATGTCGACACGGCACGAACCTACCCTGTTCTGCCCTTCCCTCCTTGGGCTGGAAGCCCTGCTGCCTGCCGCTCCAGGGCAGCAGCTGCCACCCGCAAGTGGTGGAGGGACAAGGCGAAAGATGGCGATGGCAAGTCGGATCGGAATTTCCAGAATCCGCCGGCCCTGTCGGCGTGTGTGGGGTGTCTGTCCGGTCCCGTCGACGGGGAGCCTCCTTTCGTCCCCTCCTTCCCATCCTCCTCTCCCGTCGGGGGAGAGAGAGAGAGAGAGAGAGAGAGAGAACACCCTTCCTCGTTCGGGGAACGGGTTCGCAGCTTGAGGGAATTCCATCCACGTCCTCACTACGTCAAAATGGAAGCCCCTTCCCTTTGCACTTTCCCCGGCGGGGGGGGGGTCCCGGGGAGCGGGGGGGTGTCAGATTCGCATCGCCTCTGGGGGTCCTTCTCTCCCACGCTGGTCCTTCTCCGGCGCGCTGGTCCTCCTCGGGTTCTCCTCCCCAGGTGGGGAGAAGTCCCAGGGGGAGGAGGAGAGTCAGATACGCATCCGTCCCTGGGGGTCCTCCTCCCCCTCCCCTCCCCTCTCCCACGCTGGTCCTCCTCTGGTCCTCCTCCCCTGGAGAGGGGGGGGGCCAAGGAGCGAGTCTTTTTTCTTCTCCTTTTCCTCCTCCTCCTCCTCCTCCTCATCTCCACCTCCTCCTCCTCCTCCACCTCCTCCTCATCCTCCTTCTCCTCCTCCTCCTCCCCCTCCTCGTCGTCGTCGATGTCTTTCAGGGTCGGCGGCACCAACCGTCAGGCCTTCAGAATCATATCAGCTGTGTAATCGATCCAAGCGAGTCACGGACAGCCATGAGCAACATACAAGTGTCTAACACATTTGGCAAACAAGGAGCTGCAGGGCGGAAGATGGCGATTGCCAATCGAATTGGAATGACCGAAATCACATCAACCAGACAAGTGGATCAGAACGAATCCTGGACAGCCATGAGCAACATTTCTACAACAACCACAACAAAAACCTAACAGGTTTGGCATTCAAGGAGCTGCGGAGCTGTGCCCAAGGCGGCATCCCGGTGGCTGTCAGGTCGTGCCTGACGACGCTCTCCATATGCCTCCCCACTCGCGCGCGCATGGGGTGCTGGAAGTCCAAGCATTCGAATATGCTGCTGACGCCGACGACACCGATGCTGGTCATTTCTAATGAAAATCATGGTGTCGATGGTCACGGTGGTACAGGGTGGGTTTGGGCCAGGTTCGTTGCATACCAGATGGGTGAACTCGGAGAAGCGGTGGCCTCTCAAAGCCTGGCCAGCTGCAGCCACACCAGCCGAACACCTACCAGTGCAGAAGCCACTGTACAACAATGCTGTCAAGCTGGCTCAATGCATAATCCTAGCGTGGTCGAATCAAGCTGTCACCGCGAAAAGGACAACACATCACCATCAACCACGCATAAAATGTCTCGATGCCCTGGCCGTACACCCTATCATAGCCAACCCGATACCACATCTAAAAGACGTCCAGCGCACCAAACACTCGTCAAAGGCAAAGGCGAACCACTGCTACAACATCAGGAACATCGGGACCCACGTTGGTACCTCCGTGCACTGGGCCAGCCCCACCAACTTACTGGCACAAGACAATCCAAGACAGCCCACGAGAGGCCCCAAGAAGCCCCTGAGAGACCTAGGTGAAGGCCCCAGAAGCCCCCAATAGACTCCCAGAAGTCCAATAAGCTCCGTTAGTCTACGAAGGGGCTCAACATAACATGATACCATACTGTCGGGCTTCAAAAGTGAAAATGTTATGTTGGTGGGGACATGCTCGGTTGAGTATTGCCCTCAATCTGCATAGTGACAGCTTCCCGCCCGCGCGATCTTCACGCGACTCTTTCAAACATTACCATAAGCAGCAACTTCCCTGCCGCCACGCTCACACAAGCAGATGGCAGCGATGATGTAAGATGCAAGGCAGTCCAATCAGAGAGAAATGATGGACAACGTCAAGGACGACGATAATAAAACAAATGAAGATATCTCCCCACCCCGTCAACCCGCCAGCCTTCACACATCCTCGATATTTCTCTCATTCCCGAAAGGCGATGCTGACAGACAAAACAATCAATGATGAATAGATGCAAACAGATAAGACGAAGCCAGGACTGGAACAATATCGCACCGGGACAAATCGGGGATCTCTGAAACCCAGCGGTTCTGGAGGATACATCGGGCGCTGCGGCCGTTGCAGAGAACTCCAGAAAGCTCTGGCAGCGTCCCAGGACGCGCTGGAACGATGTATCCCGCTCCTGGCCCCGCCCGAACAGATGCGGCAACGGCGCTGGCGTCGACAGCATGCCCCCGGACATGGCCTCAGCTTCTGCTCCATGGCGTCCACGGAGCGCTCTTCCGCGTCGGCCTCGTGCCTCGGTCTCGGGCCGAGCAGCCCATGCCCACGCGAGCCCCACGAGTCCACTCCGACGTCTACCCCATCATCAAGAGGGCGCCAACAAGCAACTCAACCTGAGAGCCCACACCCGAAAGCAGACATCCCTCGACCCAGACGACAAAAACGCTCCAACCCTGAAGCGAACACGTCCTGACCAAGACACTCCAGGGCCCAACGAAGAACAATGCTGAGGAATACCATGAGAAGGGGCAGTCAGGTCAGATAAGATAAGAGAATACAAGCCTAGATAAACTTATCTACTAAACGGGAATATAAGATGCTACAGTACAATATACGATGCGAACGTATCTATTATACTGTAATCACATAGACTATCATATTAGACCAGATAATACATGGTAACATGCTGTAATATGATACAATGTAAGATGAGATGCGAGCCGAACGCGTCAGTGCAGCCACCAGCGAGGATGCACCAAAACAAGTAAAGAGGGTAAAAACAAATCCTCCTCAGGAAGGCTCTCCTCCCCCCCCCAGCCAGAAAGGGAGGTCGGGGGGAACGCGAGGAGCAGCAGGAGGACGAGGTGCAGGCGGGGCAGCAGCACGAGCAGCGGCACGGAGAGGAGCGTCAAGGGGGAACAATGGACAGAGATGGCGGGCCGGCAACGATGACAGCACGAGGTAGGAGGAACTGATGCATGAGGTAGTAGGCATGTTGCGCCCGCTGCTCTTGCTCTAACAACGACTTGCAACTCTTAGAACACGCGGCAGTGGTGACTCGAGTCATTATCAGAGTGTGAGTTGCTCTTGTTATGACAAGGTGCTCAACTGCCACCGTTGAAGGGTGCGAGGTGAAAGAACGAACTCATCGACCAAGAGGGCGGATACACTGGCTGCGCTTGGTTGGCGGACTCGTGCCGCTGATAGCCCAGAGCTGACAAACGACATCTCAATAGGCATGTCAATTTCGTCCTGATGGTGATGCGGTGGTCTGGGGTGTGATAAAACTCGATGAGGATGCGGAGTGGAAGGGATGGGAAGAGGATGACTCGCAGAATGAGCGGGAGCAGAAAGATTAGGAGAAGCATGGAGGGCCCAGCGCACGACGAATGCAGTAATATCATCCTTTCATGTATATGATCTTCAATCCCCTTGTCCCCTCGCACATACCCTCTCATCCGCTGCTCGGCCCCAGTCTGACCCCATGGAGTCCATCACCTTTTCGAGCATCCTCTGCTCCTTGTCCTCCTTGGCAACCTGGGGGGCACGTTCAACGTAGAACCCAGACCATCTCCCAGACCACCTCCCCCGTCTTGGTTAGGTGGGACGAAAGTGAACAAGGATTTCGCACACCAAGAAGACAGCCGATACACTGGGTATGATGCGGACCAAACAGGACATGCGGTCGCGAAATCCCACCAGCCCTTCAGGGCGTGCGTGGTAGAAAATGAAGTTTGTCTTCTCTCCCCCATCCTTCCCCTGCTCGGTGGAAGGGTTTATCACTGCTCCCTAACAAAAACACCCCCTCCGCTAGGCGACCAACAGCCAACCAGAACCAATACGGACCCGCCATCGCTGTCAAAAAACAAGGTGAGGTCCACTTT